TAGAGAAGGAAATTGTCAGATTATGCGAGTGTCAATCTATCTTCATTTAGTGAGAGAGAGTGACAGAGCCCGCTACAAGTTACAAAATCCCAAAGTCTTTGCAATAGCAAATGGCCTTGACAAAAGTGGAAGTAGTAGCGCTGGAAATGGTTAACCGATTTCAGGTAATTGAAGTGCAGATAAAACGTTTCGTTCTTTCAGCATGTAAAGGTAAATCTGGTAATTGGGTGCGTTATTGTTTGTAATGCGAATCTTCGCTGTAATTAAGTACGAAATGTGGCTCTTGGTCTCTGACTGGTTGGCCACCCCTGTAGTAGAGCAACCATGGAACTATCTCGATACGTGAATAATTTGGAACATTCGGGACGTAAGAAACTTAAAATTGTGACTTATTACGCCAAACGTCACACTACGGTTTAGCGGTTAATTTCGCCCGGTTAACGGTTAAAGTGTTTTCCCTTAAATTCCCGGCCCTAGAAAATAGCTGATTTGGACAACAGAGCTCTTTACTTTATAAAAAAGTAAAATCTTGACAAAAGAACTCAATTATAACTATTACCACATTAAAGTGTAACTAAGCCCATTGAGAGAGTTTCTTTAATATTTACATTTTTCCGATTTTATTTGATATTTCATGAATATAATTCTAACTCAAATAATATGAATTTGTATAACTGATAATATCTAGACGTACAGCGTTTCATTATTGATAACACTTTCTTAATACGCGATTCACACATGGCCGACACACACATTCGATACTTCCATACTTTGGACAAAAAACTTTGTATTTAATCATTTTCGAATTAGTTTTTGGTTACATATCCAATTCCTAATATTTACTATGTGGGCTGAACTGGCACTGGCAATATCGATATTTAGGTTCTGGAATTTCTAATTGCCAAGTTTGACCGGATAGCGTGTCCGCTATCCGGTCCGTCTTGACTCTTGAGAGGGTCTGAAAAGCGTTCCAAGCAACGAAAAAATGCTCGGTATAATACAGAAAAAGGTGCTCCCGAAGTATGCGAACCAAGATGGCGGACATCGGAACGTAACATGGGTAACAGGTTAGGATTAGGCGGTAATTTTTTTTCCAATTTTCCTTATTTTAGTCCTAATATCAGTTCGAAGACTAGCCAAGAGTCTCCCGTAGTATTTATACCTAAAATTATGGCCTAACCCTAACCTAGTACACATATTACATTCCGATGTCCGCCATCTTGGTTCGCATACTTCGAGAGCCCCCAGAAAAATCGTCCGAATCGTAACCATAGCAAAGGTTACGGTTCGGACAATCGCCCCCCCCCCCTCCCCCCTCTTTGAATTGTAAAAAAAAATTGATAGGGGATTTTACCAAAAAAGATTGGGAACCACTGTGTTAACCTATTTACATAGATCGGGAAGATCAAATTTTTCATGTCTCTGAGGTAGGCCGGATAATAACCGCTTGAAATCACTAAGATTTTGTTACTCCTCTAATTCCTTTTCTTGAAATAGCCTTTCCTCGTTTGACTTTTCGTTTTTTACGTTATATAAGGCAATTTATGTTAAAAGATTATCAAAACTATTCTTAGACATTCCTACTGTCTGTTTCGGCACCTTAATCTTTACCCAAAGGAAATGTTTTTTACCACCTCTTCTTTTGTGACGTTACATCAATGCCGTCATAGGTGTCACCCACAAAACCAAAAAGATTAGGTAATATATGATTAGAGTTTATTACACTTTTGTACCTTAGCAAAAACAAACATATACTGAAATTGGCCATCTAAATGCTATGAGTAATAATGACGGTATTACCCCGCCCTAAACCCAATGCCAACACTAGCTCGTTTCTAATCCTGTCCGCATCGCTTTCGGTAGCGCATTGATAGGGTAATAATATGTTCGCTCTGTAAATGAAAAACTATTGTTTGTTACAGCTGAAAGCCATCCGTAACCGCGGGTCATCAAGTCTCGAGTTCACTAAATCAGTGTTTCCCAACCTTTGAGTCGCCCGAAAATTTTTCCGGGTCCCCTGCTTTTTCAACAAAAACCTAAATGTTGTATAAGTATACCTGAGTCACTAGTTTTATCTAATGTGGAAAGTATTACAGGATAAAACGCATCTTTCTTACTTCGAGTTAATTCCTATAGGTAAATACATGTTATACAAAAATGATTGTTTCATATTAGTCATTCAATTACCACAAGCATATCTATAGTCGAATTTTTACAAACCTAATTTCTTAAGAGAAATTTGGGTCTCTTGAAAAAAGGTTGTGAGCCACTGCACTAAATCACCGAATCTAAGTCACGCGTGAGGTTAGTTGATGACGACTCAAAATTGAAAATAATCGAGAGTGTGGAGGAAATTTGAGTTTCTAAAAAACGGTAACTGGAGTACGTCGAACCTTTTCAAGTTACCCCCTCCCTGACTAATATGTGAACACTCTCTAATAAAAGTATTTAGTTCAGGCCCAGGTATAACCTGTGTAGAGGTCCCTCTTGTCAATCCCCACAACCCACAATTGTTTCAGGTTTATAACTCAGTTACTGGGGTAGTTGGGGAGGAGGGGGGATTACTTAAAAAGGTCTCTCGAGCATTCCCGAAACTTGTTATTGTTGTTTGCATGTATCGTTAGATTTATGTAAAGCGTGTCATGTTAATATAACTTACGTACATTTCCTAAAAGTAGAGAATACTCTCGATACAAAAGAGAACTAGTTTCACACATTTCGAATCCCAGCACCGCTCCCTACCCTTTATATAGTAGAGAAGTGGTCACCAAACTACACTCGCTGGCCTGATCCGGCCCTTGGCGACCTTTCATTTGGCCCGCAATAACACGAAAAAATGGATAAATTTTTAATATCTGTTTTGCTATGATGTTCTTGATCTATATTCTGCGACATTGAATTCAATATTCAAGTCTCCAGAAATGTAGAATTTATATTGTTGAATAAATTGAATGGATTTCCCAACTTTTGTGAATTTATTGCATTGCATCGACAAAAAAACTTGTCCGGCCCGTATTCAACACAGTTTGAGTCATACGTGGCCCGCGGTCAAAAAGTTTGGTAACCCCTGTGTAGCGAAACCGCACAAGAGGAATGCGCATATGTGGCGCGTAAATTCCTGAGACTAGATTGATTGCCCGTTCCTAATTTGTCCTTGAGACTACCAGACGGATGAATTATAGGCTTTGGACAAAAATAGCGCAAAAGGGTACTATAAGAAATAAAAGTAACATCACCTATATTTACGTGTTATTGACTTTAAATTGTGGTATAAAAGTAACGGTCTGTTCTCATATAGCTCTTAAATCGTCGATTATAAAGCGTGTGTATTAACACTGGAATTATTAGAAGTTTTTCTGTGGATTTTTTATAGTGTTAGTCAATGGCAAAATATCCATTTTGAGAGAAAAAAAATGACGCTGATCGGGATAAGTCTTTAAATGGAAACGATTCATCGTATAAAAGCGGAGAAATGGCAGTTAATAAAGCAGTAATGAAATGGCTAGGAATATGGATGGATATATGGTCCCAATTGTAACTTGAATGACCTTATCTGTAGAGCGTTATATTGGGTTGGTATATAGATGGCAGATTTGTTCATCATTCGAAACATTCTCCATCAGAAGTTTTAAAATGTTTTAGATTCATAAATCATTTTAGCCAATGGTTGAGTACTTAGTGTATTCATGATGTATGGTTTAAGATTCCAGACAGAAGGAATTCTATTGTTTGGTGAGGTCGGGCAAACGTTAGTAGCGACGCGGGGATAGCGGATAAATATTCAGGCAATAATCGAAAACTTTTCCGGCGTTAGTCTAAAAAGTTGACGAGTGTATGTAATGGTAACGAGGAATGGTTTAAAACGAGCGTCGCTGCGTTGAATCTTTTGCCGTTTTTCCCGATGCTTTTATTACTGTAACTGCTTTTATTACAAGGTGGGCTATCATAAGCTTTACATATTTGCATACAATTTGATAAAAAACACAATAACAAAGTTGTCCTCGTGAACTATATTTCTACGAACATCAGAACATAGGGAGTATGTTATTCGAGTCAAACATTTATTGCTTTGTCTGATTTGACCGCAAATATACTTCGGTTTGTTGTTTTGATTGTAATCGATGTTTGGTTTGCAATGTAACGGATACCGCTATCGTTCAGCTGTAGATATCATGTGAGCTTATAGATTAGAACAGTTAAATAGATTTTGCAAGGCGGGCCACATTACGTAGGGGACTCATTAGTCGTCTAACCCAAACTAGGGGTCACGAGTCCGCTGGGTGTCACGAACAGAACTTTAGGGGTTGCAAAGTGTATACCAATTTTACATAAAGTAGTATATCTATTTTACTCTTAATTTGAAGACCAATTATTGAAATTAGTGCAAAGCATAAATCTCACGATCTCGAGAAAATACATAGGATCAGAAAAGCGGTGCGATTGCACAACAACGCCGACGTAACAGGGGTCGCAGAAAATATTTAAATATTGGGAGCGGTCGCAAGCTTAGAAGTTTTGAAAGACCTGGTCTAACACGCCATGTCAGTTTATGAATATGAATGTTCATCTATTGTCGACACACATTGCAGAACACTCGACATAACAGGACGGGTGACCATAAGCTTTATATATTTGCATATAATTCATTAACGACAAACACAATAAGAAAGTTGTCCTAGTGAACTATTTTTCCACGAACGTAGGGAGTACGTTATTCGAGTTAAATATTTATTGCTTTGTCTACTTTGACCACAAATATACTTCAGTTTGTTGTTTTGATTGTAATCGATGTTTGGTTGCTGTGTAGCGGATGTCGCTGTCGTTCAAGTGTACATAGCATGTGATCTTATTGGTTAGATCGGTTAAAAAGGTTTTGCGAGTCGGGCCGCATCAAATAGGCCAGAGGTGTGCAACCTGCGGCCAGCGGGTCACATGCAGCCCACAAGGAAACTTACGCACAATAAATATTCACTGTGTTTTTCACTGTATCCTAACTTTAGCCATAAACTCTAGCACTGAATGTTGGAGAAATACAAAGTACTCGGTGAAATGGATTTATTCTCATGGATACTTTGGATTACAATAACTGGACTGAAGACTTCATTAGCGCAAATGTGTAAGTAGATTACAAATTGATGGTCATATATTGCTTTTTACCGTGTATAAGCAAACAGAAAAGTCACTGTGAGTAGAGCAGGGTGGCCACGTTTTTTGGACCAGGGGTCATAAATTTTGGGCCACGTGAGTATGACCAAAAGAGTTACATTTTGAGAACAATATTTACACTTTTAGAAAAACAAAAGTGGAAACAATGAGTCTGGCGTAAAATCTAAATTTGGTTGTGGACTTGTGGCAGCATCAGGCGGGCCAGATTGAACTACGCAACGGGTCGTAGTTGGCCCGCGGGCCATAGTTTGCTCATGTCAGTTATAGAGACATCAGAGGTGGGGCCGCAAAGTATTTCCGAACCTAAACGGTGTATCCATGCACCCCGACCACACTAATTTCGCTGCCAAATCTGAAGAAAGTCGACCGGGATCTTCTACACAAAGTCCACGCTTTTAAACAACAAATCAGTAATTTTTCAATTAGGGTTAAGAATGCATTGAATTTCCAGTGCAATCTGCATTCCAAACCCTAATTTAATAATTTTCCTATTTTGATCGTTGGCGTTTTTTTTTGGCTGGAACTTTATACAAAAGATACGCCGATTCAACTACAGAATTTAATATTTCAGTTTCACCTAATCCGTACATGGAGTTTACAAATTATAAATCAATACACAGTGTGTTATTTGTGATCCCAGTAAGCTTCGTGAGCAAACATAATGTCTTACGAGGAATCGTGAAAACTTTTAGGCGCCGTATGCTATGTTGACTTCATATTTGAATACATGGTATAATCAGTATTATTAAGTATTGTTTACCTTTCGCCGACGCGGGAATGACCATACACGGCTAGTTGTCATTTAATAATTGAACTTTCAAATTATTTTCGATTTCAAATAAACTTAGACTTTTTTCTGATGTATTTCACTTGTGCAACAAGACCTCACGCTAGTGGTTCCCAACCAGGGGCTCATGGGCCCCCAAGAGGGCCACTGAGCAGTTGGAGGGGGACACAATGCTAGGCACAAAACAGATTTTTCTTTTTCTTTTACACGAAAACCCCCGTTCACATTCCTTGATAAGGTTATTTCACAGGGTGTTTTCACTTTCTTGAGCATAAATTGTTTGAACATAATAGGATTTGAAATCTACCAAACAATATAACGCTATAAATAATACTGTTATGATAAACAGGGCAAAATGAGTGCTAAACGCCCCCGGACGGGAGCCACGAGCCATATAAGGTTAGGGACCATTGCCTGACGCAAACGACCAAGCCAATGATTCTCAACTCTTCTTCCGTCGCCTATTTTAGTTACACAAAAAAAAATATGTCTCTCATTAACTTTTTTCATGCAAGCGAAAAACTATTTTTCCTGAAATATAGACACTTCCGCGTTAATATTTGGAATACATACCTTGGAAATACATAATTCAAATACGTTCATTTAAAGTTTGCGCTTGTGTGGTCGTCGATTCCAACTTCACCCGTTCGCATTCCATGGACCATATTTGATTGATGGTGGTATATTTAGTATTCTTACATATAGTCCGTACTGAAGCATATGTAAATACAAAGTAACCTTTTAACTTGAACCAATGTGATTATGTTTCATTATCGGAGAATTTATTTGCTCAATACATATTCGACTTCTCAATGCACTTAGGAATATGAGTTGTTGAACTTTTGGAACCGACTGATTTGAGGTATATTTCTCATGAGTAAATAACGTTCAATGGTGCGCTAGTGGTTATGACGAATGGTTAGAGTAGGCAAAAAGGAAACGTCAATAATTATCTACAACAGTGGTTCCCAAACTTTTTAGAGTTGCGACTCACTATTTATTACCACAGCTTATGGCGACCCACTTAACTTTTTATGACACAACACAGATCACAGCAATGGCTAATCATCGCAAAAGTACCGTGTTTCCTCGGAAATAAGACCTAATTTGAATTTTAAAAATGATTTCAATTAAACCCTACTCTAAATAAATTTAAAATATGTGGGAGAGGAAAGGTTCAATGACCTGAGGTGAGGTGAAGATCACTCCACTATCCAACATTGTGTGATGTCACAATCACAATTATGATATTTGTCACTTGATTTTTGTATAGAAAATACAAATAAAAACAATGGATGTCGGTTTTTATATAATAACTTTTAAAAAATATCGTGATTTTCTACAATGTAATTTTATTTTTGATAAATGAACCCAAAAGACTTTTTCCAAAAAATAGAACCATAGTGTTATTCTTCAAAAGAAAATAAATCTAAATCCTGTCTAAATTTCGGGGAAACACGGCAAGAAGTGCACAAAACTGCTATGCGTAAAAAAGCCACATGGTCATTCTTTGTGCAAATTTTTGTTCCTTTGAGAAGATCCTAAAAAGGAAACTTTCATAGATTAGAATTTAATTTCTTTAGTTTTTTGAAAATTTACGTATTCGAGTCGCCAGTATAATTAATCAAAGCTTTCTGCATCTTTTCACGACCCACCAAAATTTTTTTTGCGACCCACCAGTGGGTCGCGACCCATAGTTTGGGAACTGCTGCAGTCTACAATATGTTTTCACGAAAATGGTCTCATCGCATTAGTTACTACATTTCCTCGTCTATTCGCCAGTTCAGATGCAAGAATAGTTTACCAGTTTATTGTCTGTGTCTATGTACCTTTCCCCGACCCTTGATCTCTGAAAGATTTTCAACGATGAATTTGAAAGTGTTTTGGGAAGTTGGCGCTGAAAAACTGGCTCACATGTTAAAATCTTGTTAAGTCATTGTTAACTTATTGCTGATTTGTAATTGTTACGAAAATAAACAAGGAAATCGATGCTCAGAGAAACATCCATGGAACTTGACGGTGCGGGTAACTATAATGTGAATCATCTTGAGATGCCAGAAAGTTAAATTCTCTCACACAACATTAACCACACGGCCTAATCAGCCACACGGTGGCAAGCGTGTTTCTGACACTCAGTGCGATGTGCTAACATGAGTACCGCTGTACGTACGTCGTACACAAATGTGGCATATGATTAGTTTATTTGATTGGAGGCGGTGCCGTGGAAACCGACCAAAGGTTACATTATTCACCCTGAGAAGGCGAGAGGTCTAGTACAATTTCGCGAATAATTATCCACCACACGATTTTAACCACCCAGGCTAATCAGCGATGCGACGCAAGCGTGTTTCTGTCGTTTTGTTTGCGCCTTCGATCTCTCAAATGTATATTGCCAGCGATAGTGGAATCTCTCGCTCTTCAAGTACAAGCCGCAGAGCCTTTGGTACAGTTAAAGTTAGAAATAAACAAATATGGCCCCACTGCTATTTGAATGGCCTCCGCTGCAGCAGCGTATGGCAGCTTATTGTGAAAGGTTAGTAGTATTTTATCATCCTGTTATACTGTATTTGTGTTCTATTTGTTTAAAGTATTGGCGACTTTGGCGCCGTGATATTGTTTGAAGATATTTTTATTAGTTACCCGTCTATTTCCGATAAGCACGCATTCTTTGAACGGTAATTCCGAATAAGTAAACTATCGTAACAGTACTGTGAATGCGTGTTTCTTGTCCTTAAAGAAACCAGCGGTTATTTTCAAAAAGGTAGACTACTACCGTACCGGTACTATGTCGTAATATTACAACAATCAGCCGTTATTTCCGAATAATTATATTTGCCGTACCGGTACTATGTGTGTATATGTCTTTTCCTAATGGCTATTAACAGACTTCCTCCACAATCAAGTTCATGACATCTGAAACAAACGAATGACAAGTCAATCCCATAGCCGACATGGGAGGTAACCGGCTGAAACGCCACCGTGCGCCAAACTGCAGTACCAGCATGCAATCCATTTTTTGTCAGTTTAGCCGAGGATTGAGGTGTGAGCTACTGCCATACAGGTATGCGCCCTTAGACGAAGTGATCGTAACTCTGCTTAGTACTGCCGTGAGTGAAAATGCAAAATACCAAGACGAACGCACCCCGGATGGGACTCGAACCCACAATCCCTGGCTTAGGAGGCCAATGCCTTATCCATTAGGCCACCGGGGCCGGCGCTTAGCCCCTTACTGTAACCACTGAAAAACTAATTATGTCCAGTTATGGAAATAATAGCCTTATACTTAATCTGATGTACCTCTTGTGATGTCGAAATGTAGTCCAGTTTGGGAACCCCTGATTTATAAGATAATTTATTTTGAACTCCGTCGTGGTGTTTGTGTGCCGATTTGCACATCTTAACTCTACTCGAAGTTTTGTCACTTTCTGAATTCCCCTTTTGTTTGTAATGTCTTTATGGGAAATCGAAATAAACTTAATTACTAAACTTATACTTAAGCAACAGTCTAAATTAATTCTCCCAAGAGCGGAAACCGCTATGAATCAAATTCTGTCGTCTGCTTTAACACATCTCATTGTTTGCTCATAATTCGTCTATAATGCAATTTCAACATCGTTGGTATTTGCACTTTATGGCGTTTATAATGAGCGATAGTGCGCGATGGATAGATAAGCTTACGAGATCGCAGTTGTAAACTCTGTGTTAAATATGAATTATTTGTGGTCGCTGGATAGGGGTTTCGGGTTCAAATTGTTGGCACATCAGGCTTAGTGTTCAAAACTCTTTGGCCGTCGCACTTATGCGGTTCCGTAAAGCTTTTCGAACAAAGCAAATTCTGTAAAATCTCGCCACCCAAGGACATGCTGAAATACCAAACGGCCTTTTGCTTAATGGCGAATTAAAATAATCATTTTTACATAATATTCACTTCCTGTACATATAAAATACAAAAAAAAATTATTTGAAAATAAAATTAGTAATTTTTAGGTTTTTGTTGAAAAAGCAAGCGACCCAAGAAAATTTTTGGGCTACGCAGTTTTGGGTCAGTTGGGTTGGGGAACACTGCCGTAAAAGATAATACGGTAGATGCGAGAGGGTTGCTAGACTCGTCGCCGAGCTAGGGTGTAGTTCGTACTACTACCAGTCGGCCAAGGCTTTCTCCA